ATTTTGTTCTTTGATATTGTACTGCTCCCTTTTTTCTTTCTTTCTTTTTTTTTTTTTTGCCACACCACGCAGCTTGCAGGGACCTTGGTCCCCAGGCCGGAGGTCGGGCCCGAGCTCCTGTGGTGGGAGCTCCAAGTCCAAACCGCTGGACTAACAGAGAACCTCAGACCCCAGGGAATATTAATCGGAGTGAGGCCTCCCGGAGGTCCTCATCTCAGCACCAACACCTGGCTCTATCCAACTGCCTGCAAACTCCAGTGCTGAACGCCTCAGGCCAAACAACCAGTAAGACAGGAATACAGGCACTAGCAACACAAGAAACAAATAGATAAACTGGACCTTATCAAAAGTAAAATCTTTTGTGCATCCAAGGACACTCTCAAGAGAGTGAAAAGACACAGAATGGGAGAACATATTGGGAATCATACATGCGATAAGGTTTTATTATCCAGAACACATTAAACAGCCTTGCATATCAATAATAAAAATGCAAACAACCCAGTTAAAAAATGGGAAAGAAGTTGAATAGACTTTTGTCCAAGAGTGATAAACAAATGGCCAATAAACAGAAGAAAATTTCCTCCACATCGCTAATCATCAGGAAAATGCATGTCAAAACCACATGAGATAACCACTTTGCACCTACTAGGATGGCTAGAAACGTGGCCAGAAGTGTTGTCGAGGAGAAAAGCAGCGGCGGCGGCTCTAGCGGCAGTAGCAGTAGCGCCGGGTCCAGAGAGTGGAGGTGCTTCTAGAGCAGCGGCAGTTCTGACTACAGCGCAGGGACGAGTCCGGTTCGTGTTCGTCCGCGGAGATCTCTCTCATCTCGCTCGGATGCGGGAAATCGGGCTGAAGCGACTGAGTCCGCGATGGAGAGAGAAAAGAACAAATCCGTAAACTCTTTATTGGTGGCCTGAGCTTTGAAACTACAGAAGAAAGTTTGAAGAACTACTGCGAACAATGGGGGAAAACTTACAGATTGTGTGGTAATGAGGAATCCTGCAAGCAAAAGATCAAGAGGATTTGGTTTTGTAACTTTTTCATCCATGGCTGAGATCGATGCTTCCATGGCTGCCAGACCTAGTTCAATGGATGGGAGAGCGGTTGAGCCAAACCATGCTGTTTGCAAGAGGGGAATCTGGAAAGCCAGGGGCTCATGTCACTGTGAAGAAGCTGTTTGTAGGTGGAATTAAAGAAGATGCTGAGGAACATTATCTTAGAGATTACTTTGAGGCATATGGACAAATTGATGCCATTGAGATAATTACTGATCGGCAGTCTGGAAAGAAAAGAGGCTTTGGGTTTGTTACTTTTGATGAGCATGATCCTGTGGATAAGACTGTGTTGCAGAAATACCATACCATCAGTGGTCATAATGCAGAAGTAAGAAAGGCTTTGTCTAGACAAGAAATGCAGGAAGTCCAAAGTTCTAGAAGTGGAAGAGGAGGCCACTTTGGTTTGGAGATTCTTGTGGTGCTGGTGGCAATTTTGGACCAGGACCAGGAAGTAACTTAAGAGGAGGACCTGATGGATATGGAAGTGGTCCTAGATTTAGGGATGGGTATCCTGGGTATGGAGGAGGGCCTGGAGGTGGCAATTTTGGAGGTGGTGCAGGTTATGGAGGAGGAGGATATGGTGGTAGAGGTTCTGGATCTGGCAACCAGGGTGGGAGCTCCTGGGGTGGGTATGGCATCTATGGAGGAAGAAATTGTGGATGTGGAAATGGCAATGATTTTGGAAATTATAACCAGCAACCTTCTAACTACTGTCCAATGAAGAGTGGAAACTTTGGTGGTAGCAGGAACATGGGGGGACCATAGGTGGAAGAAACTATGGTCCAGGAAGCAGTGAAGGAAGTGGGGGTTATGGAGGGAGAAGCCAATATTGATCTTCTTCCTATTTACCATGGGCTTCACTGTATAAATATGAGAGGATGAGAGCCCAGAGGTAACAGAACAGCTTCAGGTTATGGAAATAACAATGTTCAGGAAACTCTTATCTCAGTCATGCATAAATATGCAGTAATATGGCAGAAAACACCAGAGCAGATGCAGAGAGCCATTCTGTGAATGGATTGGATTATTTAATAACATTACTGTGGAGGAAGGATTGTAAAAAAAAAAAAAAAGCACCCTTGAGACAGTTTCTTAGCTTTTTTTTCTTGCGGGCCTCTCACTGTTGTGGCCTCTCCCGTTGCGGAGCACAGGCTCTGGACGCGCAGGCTCAGTGGCCATGGCGCACGGGCCCAGCCACTCTGTGGCATGTGGGATCCTCCCGGAGTGGGGCACGAACCCGCGTCCCCTGCATCGGCAGGCGGACTCTCAACCACTGCACCACCAGGGAAGCCCTCTTAGCTTTTTAATTGTTGTTTCTTTCTAGCGGTCTTTGTAAGTGTAGAAGCATTCCTTCTTTGATAATGTTAAATTTGTAAGTTTCAGGTGACATGTAAAACCTTTTTTAAGATTTTTCTCAAAGTTTTGATAAGCTATTAGCCAAGGTCATGGTGTAATAAGACATAACATTTTTCCTTTAAAAAAATTTAAGTGCGTCTGTAGAGTTAAGAAGCTGTTGTACATTTATGATTTAATAAAATAATTCTAAAGGAAAAAAAAAGAAGTGTTGTCAAGGATATGGAGAAATTAGAACCCTGTACACTGCTGGTGGGAATGTAAAATGGTGCAGGCACTGTGGGTAGGAGCTTGGTGGTTCCTCAAAAAGTTAAACATGAAATTAACCCTGTGAGCCAACATTTCCACTCCTGCCTATACTGAAACAGATGCTCAAATATCTGTACGTGAATGCTGGTTGCAGCACTATTCGCAATAGCCAAAAGGTGGAAATGTCCTGAATGTCCATCAGTGGCTGATGGAAATGTCCCAAATGTCCATCAGTGGCTGAATGGATAAACAAAGTGTAACCTGTACATAGGATGAGAATAATAGTCATAAAAAGTAAGAGAAGGGCTTCCCTGGTGGTGCAGTGGTTTAGAGTCCGCCTGCCAGTGCAGGGGACATGGGTTCATGCCCCAGTCTGGGAAGATCCCACACGAGTGGCTGGGCCCGTGAGCCATGGCTGCTGAGCCTGCGCATCTGGAGCCTGTGCTCCACAATGGGAGAGGCCACAGTAGTGAGAGGCCCGCGTACTGGTAAAAAAAAAAAAAGCTCTGACACATGCTGCAACGTGAATGAAACCTTGAAAATATGCTGAGGAAAAAAGCCAGACACAAAAGACCAATATTGTGTGATTTCATTTAGGTATATAAAATGTCCAGGCTAGGTAAATCCAAATACAGAAAAAAAAATTTTTTTTAAGAATTTTTTTGGCCATGCCTCGCAGCTTGTGGGATCTTAGTTCCCCCACCAGGGATTGAACCCAGGCCCTCAGCAATGAAACTGCAGAGTCCTAACTACTGGACTGCCAGGGAATTCACAGACAGAAAGTATTTTTGTGTGTGTGTGTGTGTGGTACGTGGGCCTTTCACTGTCGTGGCCTCTCCCGTTGAGGAGCACAGGCTCCAGACGCGCAGGCCTAGCAGCCATGGCTCACGGGCCCAGCTGCTCCGCCGCATGTGGCATCCTCCCGGACCGGGGCATGAACCCGCATCCCCTGCACTGGCAGGCGGACTCTCAACCACTGCGCCACCAGGGAAGCCCCCAAGAAAGTATTTTAGTGGTGACCAAGAGGTAGAGTTATCATGGCTATAATGGCCTTATAATTTGTTTTTAAACGAGTATACAGTTCACATACCATAACGTTCACACTTCTAACTGTAAAACTCAGTGGCTTTTTGTATATTGCACAGCTGTCCAACCATCACTATACAGTGTGAAAAAGGAAATATAACTTTTTACATTTCAAAATTCACAGAGACTGACTAAAAGCTGATCTGACATAAATTTCCCTGCAGTATAAAATGCACACCTGAGAACTGTGACATCTCAGTGGCTGTGCTGAGACCAGTCCTGCAGAGAGACTGGGACCTCAGGGTCTGACTTCCCATGGGGTAAAGCTCCCTGGGCCTTGGGTAGCTGACCCCAATCCCCAGCAGTGGGAGCTTGGACTAAGGGCAGAGCCTCCTGCTGTTAAAGGTCACAGATGGACCAAGCCTGACCCTGCATCGCACATGGTGGTGTCACTGAATCTTTGTTCTTAAAGGGCACGTTTCCACCATGACCTTGCCCTGGGCCATGCCCTGACACTGGAGATCACCAAGCTGATGAAAGAAATTTTCACCTATTGAGGTATGGGGAAGTTATTCGGGCTTATACATGATTTAACTCGAATTTTATACTAACTAAAATGGCCTGTTTGTGGCCTATCAAACACATTGTCTGTCTGCTTTAATTATTAAAGGGCACATTGACCAGAACAAAAGATATCCGTGTTAAAAATAAAGACTAGATGTCTCCCTTCCTGGGACACCAATGCTTGTCCTCCTTCGATGATGACTCCCTTCCCAGGTGCCAAGGCCATAGCTACTCGTTGCCTCCTGCTGCAGCCTATGTGCTGATCTGTTTGTTTTTGGGGGGATTTTTTGTTTGTTTGTTTGTTTTTGCCGTTTTTTAAAAAACTATTTACTTATTTGGCTGCACCGGGTCTTAGTTGCAGCACGCGAGATCTTCGTTGTGGCATGCGGGGTCTTTAGTTGCAGCATGTGGGATCTGGTTCCCTGACCAAGGGTTGAACCCATGGCCCCTGCACTGGGAGCACGAAGTCTTAACCAGTGGACCACTGAGGAAGTCCCTGATCTGTTCGTTTTTGAAACCTTGAAGGAATGTTTCCCTGCCTTGTTTGCTGTTAAGAGTTCTTACAAGATAGAAAACGGTGCTAAAAACCATGCTTCTCCTGAGCAGGTCCTCTGAGTTATCTGAGAGGCCGTCTTAAGGGCTCTAGTCTTCAGTTTGGCTCAAAACACTTTTCTATTCCTATTATAGATCGTTTATTTTTTATTTCCATCAACAAAGCCCTATGACCCGTATTTTCTCATCCTCATTCCGTGTATGGAGCGATCCCCGGGGAAACTGAGTTTGGACTTCCAGGTGCAGGAGGAGGACACAGGGGAGCCACCGAGCAGATGCCACAGGTGTGCCGCGCCCAGAGCCCGTTCTGCACGGAGCCCAATTCCCAGGCGGGCGGATCAGCCACACGTGTCCCTGTGGCCTGTCATTCGGTGGTAGGGGCGGGGTCTGGTTGAACTGTCCAATCAGCGGCGACGGGGCGGGGTCCGGACAAAGCAATCAGGATAGAGTGGGACTAGGAGGACTGTCCATCAGGGCAGGGGCAGGGCAAGGATTACTGTCCAATCAGAGCCCGGGCCCCGAAGAGGGCTGGCGGCGTGCGCGTTCCCAGCCCGCGGAAGTTTTTCTGCGCTTGTGCGAACTTGTCCTGCGCGGCTTCAGGTGTCGCGTCCCCGTCGGTCTCACCTGCCCAGGTCGGACGGTCGCCCCGAGGACGCTTCGGAGAACCCGAAAGGAGGCACAGATGGTGAGTGCACCGCTCAGGGCCCTAACAGGGAAAAGGCTGGTTTGAACGGTCCGGAACTTGCCGAAAGCGACGGCCGGGCCAGGGTCTCCCCGCGTCCCACCAGTCTCCCCCTCGGCCGCGGGCTGAGGACCTGCCGTGTTGCTCCGTCACTGCCCGGGGTCCAGGGCGTCCGGACCGAGTCTTTGGCCCCGTGGGGGTCGGAGGGAGGACAGGACTATTCCCGACGCGGGCCGTTAGGCGCTGGGGCGTGGGGGACCCGCCCTGGACCTGACAGATAAAGTCAAGCCCGGACTTGTCAAGGAGACTGTATTGCAAATACTGTTGCGATAGCGCCGAGGCTCGGATCTCAGAGATGTGCCAGCGTCTCCAACCACACAGCAAAGGGCTTTTCTGTGTGAGGAGGGCGAGCAGGAGGGAAGTTGGGCGAGTGAGGGCGGTGCGCGGAGTGCGGGGCCAGCGTGGCTGGACTGGACAGGGCTCCCTGGGTCACCTGTTGTCTGGAGAAGCTGACCAGGGGCTTGTTCGGAACCTCAGTGTTGCTCAGACGTGGGGGCGACACCCCGTCCAGGAACTTGTGGGGAGAAGCCTGACGATGTGGGGTAAGAAACAGGACACAGAGAACTTGGTCAAGCCCAAATGCGTGGGCAGGAGGGCCGGATCTCCAGGTGTCAAAGATAAAATGTCAAAGTGGGGCTGGCCCCTCAATACATGCAGGGAGCATCACAGAGTGTCTTTGTACTCTGGGAACAGATTCGCAGTGACCTTACCCCCAGGCTGACCCCTGTCTCGGGAGGTCCCCAGGCCTTCCCGTGTCATGTGGAACAGTAATCAGTATTGAGCTTTATTTGAGGTCTTAGGAATTGCAACTTGGGGGACCCAGATTTGAGTTGATGGAATAACTCCTGGATAAGAAAGAAAATTTAAGCATAACATTACTCTCTGCCCTTATTGGGCCCTCCCTAATGTGCATTGTGCATCTGCATTATGCATTAACCAGACCTTCTCAAAGGTAGGAATGTCTGCTCCACCAGAAAGATCAAATTTTTTTCCTCGTTCTGCCACCAGCAATGTAACTCTAAGATAACATACCTTTCCTAATCCTGTCAGGGGTCATGCTGATCTGCTGCAGATCTAGACTGTGTATTTTTGGTGAACCTTATGTGAGATGTCATTGTGTCATTTTGATATATGCTCCTTTGTCTCAAAAATGTATATGATGGTCTTAGACTTCTAGTAAGTGGAACAGCCCTCTGAGTTTTATGAGAGACTGTCTCCTGGGTTATAATCCTCTCATAGGCTTAAAGAAAATTTTCTATTTTCTCTTTTAGATCGACTATTCATTAATTTTTCATCAACAGCGTAACACTGAAAGTGTTGTAGGGAGGAGAAAGAGTAACAGACTTATTAAAGGAAAAGCCACAGGGTTGTTAAAGTTGCCTGGCATGAATTATGATAGACTGACACAGGGAATGAAATATTTGTCCTTAAGGAATAGGCTGTCACGAGTTATTTAGGGGAAGGGTCCAATAAGTATCTTGACTTTCTGGGTCATTGGGCAGATGTTCTGGATGCCTGCGTTAAGGCAGTAAGTGGTCAAAAGTTCAGATTCCATCTGGGCTGAGACCTGCATAAGCCCTACTTCCTCAGTGGCCTCCTGCCTGCATTTTAGAGTGCTCTCTTAGCAATACTGACTCCATTTTGATTTTCCTTTCACACCTGTTCCCTGCTGTCCTGGCTCCCGGACTTAGGGGGACAGCCCTGGACAGGGGGCACTGAGGGAACTGAATGGCACATTTCTGTTCAGGAGAAGGGGAGTGCAAGCTGTGAGCAGATGCTGTGTCTGTCTGGCGAGGAGTACATTCGTCTTAGAGTCCACCAGGGCAGCCAGGTCTGTCGCCCCATAGAAAGCCAGTCAGTAAAGGGCTGAAGCCAACCACCCGCACTTCCGCCCTGCTCCGTCACGTGACCTACAGCCCGCCCTTCACTCAGAATCCAGGCCTGCACCCGTTGTCAATCAGGGACCAAGAAGGGGGTGTGCCTAGAGACTCGTCCAATTAAGGTGCGAAGGCTTGGAGCCTCATCCAATCAGAGACGGGGACGGGCGCATTCGCTTACGTTGTGACGTCGCTCTTAGCCGCCCGGGCGTTCCGTCGCATCTACTTCAGGGGACCTCAGGTGTCCCGTGGCTGTTTCTCTAACCTGCCGGAGCTGTTGGGCTGCAGGGCCGCGGGGAAGACGACCTGAATGCGCGGAGAGGGGCCGAAATGGTGAGTGCGTGGGGCTGGCGCCGAGACCGGCTGGGGCTGGTTCGAATTGGCCGGAAGCGGCAGCAGAACAGGACTCCCTGACCCCGGTCCAGACCCTAGTTTCCACCCTCGACCGTGTCGCGCGGTCCCGGGGTCCTGTCCGGTCCTCGCGTGGGGTCTCGGGTCCCAACTCGGGTCTCCGCCCTCGACCGCAACGTGGGATCCCGTGAGTTCCGACCCAGTCCTTGTCCCGGTGGGTGTCTGAGCGAGGACGGGGCGAACCCCTGGAGCGGGCGGTCAGGCGCTGGGGTCCCGCCCTGGACCTGACAGATAATGTCAAGTCCAGGGTTGGTCAGGGAGACTGTTTTGCAATTAATGTTGCGATAGGGCCGAGGCTCGGATCTCAGGGATGTGCCAGCGTCTCCAACCACACAGCAAAGGGTTTTTCTCTTCTGTGAGAGGAGGGTGAGAGGAAGGCGGATTGACAGAACCAGAAGTCCTGTGGTCAGGGCGTCCTCGGCCCAGGTGAGAGGGGATTTGCTCTGCAGCTCAGTAATGCTCAGTTTGGGAGGTGTAGCGGGGAGTGACCCAGAGTCAGGGGCATTTGGGAAGAGAAGCCTGAGTAAAGTTTAGGTAAAAAAAATGGATGTTGAGCTTAAATATAACAGTTATTTACTAGGAAAAATAGATTTGCTTGGGAACAGCAAAAAATTGCAATTCGGGACAGACAAGGTGTAGCAAAAGCCATAGGCAAGGCCTACAGACTTATTTATTGGAGAAAAAGGAGGGAGTTGGGAGGGGTTGTATTGATGTAAAGTCCATGGAGAGATGGAGAATTCAGGTTGATGCTGGTTTCTCATTGGCTAGTTGCTGGGGTAGCCAGTTTCTTGAGAAGATGCAATGTGTGTACATCTTTTTCTGTTGGGGGCTGTAATTGACACTTCTTCCTGTAATTGATGTCAAGTGGTTCTGGGTGAGGTTCTCCCTTCTGCACCCACCCCCACTTCTTTTTAGTGCGTTTTCTCTTTTTTAATTTTCATAAGGGCCGTTGAGAACACTTGGTCAACCCTGTGGCATTAAAAAAATTACAGACTTTACAACAAGAGACCTTTATTCAAATGAGTTCCTGCAGGGGGAGAAGGGTCTGTTGCACCAGGCACGGGGGCTCTGCAGGAAGCGGGACGTCTGACCCTAAGATCTGCAAGCGTCTCAAGAGTTGGGCAAAGAGAGTTTTTCTCTTATACAGAGGAGTAAACACCACCAGGAGGGACCAGGTGTGATGCTCGGATAGCAGATCCCTGAGGCCAGCCTGTCCTTAGGGGTCTGTCGGCTGTGGCTGCGGTGAGGCCAGGTCAGGGGGAAGGAGAGGAGCTGAGCCAGAGTTTGGCCAACAAGCATTTGTTCTGCTTGGTCAGTGGGGGGAACAGTTCCGCTAATCACTGATGAGGTGGAGATGGGGCTTTGAGGGGACTGCGTCTGGCCTTGTCCTGGATAAACAAGGGGCCTCCGTGTGAGTCTTATCTGAGTCAGGTGGGGCACGGGGGTGGTTTCTTGCAGCCTGCCGTTTTCCAGAAGAGCAAAGGGTGGGGGGTCCTTTCATCTTCCATCAAAGTTCCAGGAGCACAGGGCTCAGGGAGGGTTCAACATTGTCCCGTGACACCTGTGAGCAGCCTCCTCTGGGTCCAGCTCAGCACTAATAGCTTCCCCAATCCAGCTCCCGGTTTCAGCAAGTATAAAATTCTGCATTCTTTTGCCTGGTTTCTTCTTAGTGAGGGTAGTAAGCGTCTTAGGTCTTTGCCTTTTCCTGACGACTTGTGTTATTCCAGGCTTTTGGGCCTTAACCAGAGATGCCTCTGGGGAGAAGTGTCTCAGTACAGAAAATGTTTTCTCTTCCATTAGAACTGCAGGAAATGGGACTTCCCTGGTGGTGCAGTGGTTAAGAATCCTCCTGCCAGTGCAGGGGACATGGGTTCAAGCCCTGGTCCGGGAAGATCCCACATGCTGTGGAGCAACTAAGCCTGTGCGCCCCAACTGCTCAGCCCGCGAGCCACAACTACTGAAGCCCGCGCGCCGAGGGTCTGTGTTCCGCAGCAAGAGAAGTCACCGCAATGAGAAGCCTGCGCACCGCAATGAAGAGTAGCCCCCACTCGCTGCAACTAGAGAAAAGCCCACGTGCAGCAATGAAGACCCAACACAGCCAAAAATAAATAAATATATTTATTTTTTAAAAAAAGAAAAGAATTTCAGGAAATGCAGGCAGTCCCACCCCTTCATGTGAAATGGGTGGAGAGATGGATTAAAAAGATTCATAGAAATTGTAGTGACTCTTCCATGAAGGGTACAGAGTTGTAACACTGTCTGATCCTGGTCCACTAACTGTTATTACCTGGTCAACAGAGGTTAGTGGAAATTCTGTGAAATGTGACCAGTGCTACTGAGACTTGCTCACTTCTTTTTAAATGAGTTACAGCTTGTCATCATGAGGATATTAGTGAACTGATGCCTGTTTTCTGAAAGTGATGAGCAGTAACCAGTTGCTCAAACCATAAAAATGCCCTAAAATTTCCCTCTCCTACATTATCTGTGAACACAGGAGGAAGCAGTGATCCTGCAGGTTCTCATTTACACACTGAGACAGGGGTCTTCGTCTCATGTAAATGACCCACAGGGATCATCATGATGCAGGTGCATCATCTGGGGTGGGGACAAGCTGAGCCTGTGAGGGAGGTGAAGGAAGGTGCCCCGGGGTCTTGC